ATTCCTGCCATGGCACGATTCTTGTCTCAGTCATCCAATCTCGCGACGTCCATCCCCTTCATAGTTGGATGGTACGCTATGGTTACCGGCCAAGCCCTCGTCCTCTACTCGCGCCTGCATCTCGTTTTCGCCGATGCGAGAAAGGTGCGTTGGGTCTTGTGGATGATACTCACGAACTTTTGCATCCTACACATTCCAATGACCGTCTTATTCTTTCTCCTCAACAACGGCAACGCACGCTTTGCTCAACCTGCCGCGATATTCGACCGAATCCAATTGACGGGCTTCTGCATCCAAGATTTCGTCATCTGCGGCATTTACATATACGAAGCAGTTCGTGCTTTCAGACTTATCAGTGCGTTCCGAGGTCGCGAGAGCCGCAACGCCATCATCCATCTAATTTGCATCAATATCATCGTGGTATTCGTGAATATTCTCCTCCTGGTGGCGGAATACAAACTACACTACATTCAAGTGAGCTTCAAGACGGTGGTGTACAGCGTCAAGCTGAAGTTGGAGTTTTCTGTGCTCAACCGTCTCTGCTCGGTGGCCGTCCCCTGCACCTGCCAGAGTGGATCCGGGGAGCAGCGCCGATCATGTGATATGAATCTCTTTGATCGAAGCCTTCCACGGTCATCTGCGGAACCAGAGAGGACAATGCAATCTGCGTCGACTTATGAAAAGATACAGCGCCGTTTCAAATTGCCAAACTTGGTCCATAGATACCACGGGGCGAAGAGCTATTTGTCCGGGAAGAAGATCATTCCCTCCAAAGACAGTTCGTACTCAGAAACATTCCCCGAGAGCCATTCAAGCACCCGTACGACTGGCTCATCGGAATCTCTGCCGGCACTGGAACTGAGTCTATCTGAATTCTCGCCCAAATTCGATGTTTAAGCATCCTGCCAAGAATGCAGGCTGGGTCTCGTTGAACTTGTTAAGGGCTGAGAAGCGTGGTGCGGGTGGTGGACATGGATTATCAGGCATAACCGTGCTAGCTAGCTAGCGACAGCTCGGCCGTGACGCTTGATTTGAAGACTTTGCAGACTATGTAACTGGTGAATCTTTATGGAGGCAATGCGACTCTGCGCTTGCTAGGTGAATGTGATATCGATATGTCGGAGCGACAGGTCAGTGGGAGACACGGAGAACGGGATGAAATAAAAAAGTAATATGCAAGTCTGTGAGAAAGTTGAGACAGGAAATTTGAAACAACAATTGTTCTCTTCACACCCAGTTTTGGCGTCAAACAATATTTGGCATTATCCTTCCGGTTCAGCCGACCGGATGTAGCCTGGTCGAGCTGCCCGGCTATGGCGTCTACTAGTGCATGGGTACTAGATCAAATGAAGAACATTCTTATATGGTAGGTGAGAGCAAATGCGAAATACTAAAGTGTACTGACTGTTACGGCTTTTATTATGTGAGACGGCGAACTTATTGCACGTCCTTTCGTCAACCTGGACTTTCATATCACGCAACCCATAGACCGATTCTATCGTACGTTGCTATACCACATCTACATGGAACTTCAAAATCTGGCCAAGGGAGCAATAACGCGGTTGCTTGGAGAAACCTGTGCTTATTTGGGATGTACCCCAGACAGTCCCTTTTCCGAAGTGAAGCCATAGTGCAAGAGAAATCCGTGGGAGATCAATCGTTTCTCAGAGCAAATAGAAATAATCAAACAAAAGAAAATTTTTGGGAATAATCATAGTTGCAGGGTGGTCGACCGAGAATTCGCGAGGTATCCTTTACGAAGAACTTTCAAATTGAGGGTGAAATTTATTGACAACATGACAAAGTCTCACGATTTGGACTTTGGGCCATCTAGAACCTTCAGGATTGGTGTAGGGTGATACGATATCTTGAGATCGAGTTAATATCTTCATAGCGACAACATCGATGATAAAGACGAACTTACTAACTGGTTGTCAGAAAGAGGCCAATTTCTTGAGTTTGAGGTCAGAACATACATCTTCCCAGATTTCTTCATGCGAAGAATGAGATGAATGTCGGCATCGCATTCCGTGCTGTACTCAGAGACTTTTTTGAAAAGCGTGTTTCTTCGCCTGCGCGCTTTTTGATTAACCGCGTCTGTTGGGTTTGATTTCGGTTTTGGTTGAGTGGCCATAATTGGGGTTATCTTTTTTACCGAGAGCAGTGTTGAGTCGAGGAAAAATCAGACCGACATCCAATTTTCAGGTTTTCTAGTAGTGACTTGAAAGATCAATGGGGTCGCATAGCGAGCCCTGCATTCTTAAGGGAACGTAGGGCAAGAACAGTAGATTAGTAGCTTTGTTCTTGTCACAGAAAGCCATTTCTATCCGCTTCGTCGTTGATCTCATGCCACACCATGCAAGGAACGGTGAATCATCGCAACCAAGTTGATCGAGGTCTTCCACTTCGTTTCAGTCAACTTCAAGGTTTTTATCGGTTCACCACTTCGCTCATTTAAACAATGCAATCAAACAGGCCCGAGGCAAATTACGCATCGTGAACTTCTGCAGCACTATTTTGAGCAGGAGGACAACGGAATTAAGCTGGCCGGTACTTTTGTGATGACAAAAATCCTGAGGGGTCTCAACGGTTCAAGTAACCTTCGATTTCAACTGCACATTGGCGCTAAGAAAAGGAGTAATCCACTCCATCGGCCTTTAGCTGTCCGAATTTCAGCCCGGAATTGCGCCTCGCTCTGCGCTTGGTTTAACCGTGTTGGTAATTGTGAGATCTACATGAAATGCGCGCCCTTCACTGGCGA